CTTTTTTAACACAATATGAGAACACAATTTAAGAGTGTCTCTTTAGAGATACGAAACAAGTAAATATTCTGTTAATTCAGTCTTAATGTATACCTAATGCTGTACATGTATTTGTTATTCATATAATTGCATTTATCAATATTTATTTTTATATAAGGAAGAATGCTGTCTTACATACATGTTGTTTTCAAAGCATACAAATTTTCTAGGCACACACATGGTGCTGCTTGATTCCTACATTTTTTTGAGTTGTTCAGGACAGTTTAGAAAGTGTTTTCGCCAGGCGAGGTGGCTCATGCCTATAATCCCAGCACTTTGGCAGGCTAAGGTGGGAGGATCACAAGGTCGAGAGTTCAAGACCATCCTAGCCAACATGGTGAAACCCCACCTCTACTAAAAATACAAAAATTAGCCAGGCGTGGTAGTGGCACATGCCTGTAATCCCAGCCACTCAGTAGGTCGAGGCAGGAGAATCGCTTGAACCAGGGAGTCAGAAGTTGCAGTGAGCTGAGGTTGAGCCACTACACTCCAGCCTGGGGACAGAGTGAGACTCGGTCTCAAAAAAAAAAAGTGTTTTCATATACATTATGCTACTTAATTCTCATGATACTCCCCCAGTACACTCCAGCCTGGGGACAGAGTGAGACTCGGTCTCAAAAAAAAAAAGTGTTTTCATATACATTATGCTACTTAATTCTCATGATACTCCCCCAGTGTAAGACTAGTCAAAGTACTTTGGGCTTTAAATCCTGGTCTGCGGCATTCTGCTTCCATCCAGCCCTATAAGCTTCCTCTTCTTTCTGGTCTACAACCTTTATTTACTCGCTTATCTTTAGAGACCTAGCTCATGGTCACCTCCTCCATGAAGGCTTTCTCCAATAAAATAAGTGATTTCCTCTCTCACTGTATCCCTTCACTAATCTATACATACACTCTTCAGAAAAGGTTTTGTTTGATTGTTTGTTTGCTTTTTTGACACACAATTTGCTCCTGTTGCCCAGGCTGGAGTGCAATGGCACAATCTCAGCTCACAGCAACCTCCGCCCCCCAGGTTCAAGCAATTCTCCTGCCTTAGCCTCCCAAGTAGCTGGGATTATAGCCATGTGCCATTACACCCGGCTAATTTAGTTCTTTATTTTTAGTAGAGAGGGGGTTTCACCATGTTGGTCAGGCTGGTCTCGAACTCCTGACCCCAGGTGATTTGCCCACCTCGGCCTCCCAAAGTGCTGGGGTTACAGGTGTGAGCCACTGCATTCGGCCATAAATGTTTTTTTTTAAATCCAGTTATTTTTAAAATTCACATAACTTTTTTTTTTTAGACAGGGTCTTGCTCTGTGGCCCAGGCTGGAGTTGGAGCGCAGTGGCGATCTTGGCTCACTGTAATCTCCACCTCCCTGGGAGGCTTAAGTGATTCTCCTGCCTCAGCCTCCCGAGTAGCTGGGATTTCAGGCAGCTGCCCCCACGCCCGGCTAATATTTGTATTTTTAGTAGAGATGGGGTTTCACCATGTTGGCCAGGCTGGTCTCAAACTCCTGGCCTCAAGTGATCCACCTGCCTCGGTCTCCCAAAGTGCTTGGATTACAGGCTGAGCCACCACACCTGGCCCATGTAGCATAAAATTACTATAAAAATCTCTTAGGCTTGTGAGTCAATAATCATTCCAAAATAAAAAGTTAAAAACAAGCAAACATTTGTAACCTTCCATGTCAGCACATACAGATCTTCCAGATCACTTTAAAATACCATATATTAATGGTATTTCACATGATGAGTGTTGTATAGCCACACGGTTCAACAGAAGTTTCTGTAATAATGGAAATGTTCTGTATCTATACATTCCACTATGATCATCACTGGCCCCATCACTGGCACTTAACTAAATTTTTAATTTTATTAAATTTAGGTTTAAATAGTTGCATGTGGCATGGCTTCTGGTTAACCATGCTGTACAGCAGATTAATACTGTAATCCACTGATGGCCATGTAGGTTGTTTCCATCCCCTCCCCGCCACACTCAGTGCAGGCAAACTCAGTGTTAATCTAGTAAAGTAAGGCATGAGAACAAAAAGGACTTGTTTATCCCTTCTTATGTGTATTAACTCTCCAGAAGCCTGGATTCACTCTAACGCCGCCCCCTTTGAAACTCTATACAAACTTATCGAATCAAGTATGTAAAAGGACACTTACACTAAAGATATTTCCCGTATGAAAGAATAATTTAAAATGTGCAGTAAATTGGATCTTTGGGCTAGAGGGAAAAAAAGTGCACTAAAATAAAAATATTTTTCAAAAAAGGAAAATATGCAATACTTTTTTTTTTTTTTTTGAGACAGAGTCTCGCTCTTTCACCAAGGCCGGAGTGCAGTGGCATGATCCTGGCTCACTGCAACCTCTGACTCCTGGGTTCAAGCGATTCTTCTGCCTCACCTCCTGAGTAGCTGGGATTGCAGATGTGTGCCACCACACCTGGCTGAGTTTTGTGTTTTTAGTCGAGATGAAGTTTTGCCATGTTGGCCAGGCTTGTCTTACATTCCTGGACTCAAGTGATCTGCCTGCCTCGGCCTCCCAAAGTGCTGGGAATACAGGAAACCATATTTAATGCCAGCATTGATTATAGCAGCAAAACACTGGAATCAATCGAATATCTAAACATGGGGAGTTGGTTCCAATATTTTATTTTATTATTTTTTTTTTTTGAGATACGGTCTCGCTGTGTTCCCTGGGCTGGAGTGCAGTGGTGTAATGACAGCTCACTGCAGCCTTGACCTCCCCAGGTTCAGGTGATCCTCCCACCTCAGCCTCCCAAGTAGCTGGGATCACAGGCACTCACCACCACTCCTAGCTAATAATTTTTGTATTTTTTGTAAAGACAAGGTTTTTTCATGTTGAGCAGGCTGGTCCAATATTTCATGATCCTCCACATAATGGAAGGCAATACTGTCATTGAAAATGACAATTCGGCCAGGCACGGTGGCTCAAGCCTGTAATCCCAGCACTTTGGGAGGCCGAAGAGGGTGGATCACGAGGTCAAGAGATCAAGACCATCCTGGTCAACATGGTGAAACCCCATCTCTACTAAAAATATAAAAAATGAGCTGGGCATGGTGGCATGCGCCTGTAATCCCAGCTACTCGGGGGGCTGAGGCAGGAGAATTGCCTCAGGAGGCGGAGGTTGCAGTGAGCCGAGATCGTGCCATTGCACTCCAGCCTGGGCAATAAGAGCGAAACTCCGTCTCAAAAAAAAAAAAAAAAAAAAGAAAATGACAATGCTTGTAATTTATTGACATGAAAACAAGTCCATGATATATTTTCAAGTGAACAAAATATAAAACAGGCTGGCTTACACATGTAATCCCAGAACTTTGGGAGGTTGAGGCAGGCGGATCACTTGAGGTCAGAAGTTTGGGTCCAGTCTGGCCAACATGGTGAAAGCCTATCTCTACTAAAAATATAAAAATCAGCCAGGCATGGTGGCATGCCTGTAGTCCCAGCTACATGGGTGGCTGAGGCAGGAGAATGGCTGGAACCCGGGAGGCAGAGGTTGCAGTGAGCCGAGATTGCACCACTGCACTCCAACCTGGGTGACAGAGCGAGACTCTGTCTCAAAAAAACAAAATAAAGCAATATAAAATACAAAACAGATTTCAAACGAACGAAGAACAAAAAAGACAAAGAAGGACCTTCCATAACGGTAAAGGATTCAATTCAACAAGAAGACCTAACTATCCTAAATATATATGCACCCAACACAGGAGCACCCAGATTCATAAGACAAGTTCTTAAAGACTTACAGAGTGACAGACTCCCACATAATAGTGGGAGACCTCAACACGTCACTGACAGTATTAGACGGATCACTGAGGCAGAACATTAACAAAGACATTCAGGATCTAAACTGAACATGGGACCAAGTGGCCCTGATAGACCTTTACAGAACTCTTCACCTAAAATCAACAAAATATACATCTTTCTCTTTGACACACGGCACATGCTCTAATAGCCACTACATCATTGGACATAAAACAATCCTCAACAAATGTAAAAGAACTGAAATCAGGCGAGTCACCTCGGCTCACGCCTGTAATCCCAGCACTTTGGGAGGCTGAGGTGGGTGGATCACCTGAGGTCAGGAGTTCGAGAGCAGCCTGATCAACATGGAGAAACCCCGTCTCTACCAAAAACAGAAAATTAGCCAGGTGTGGTGGTGCATGCCTGTCATCCCAGCTACTTGGGAGGCTGAGGCAAGAGAATCGCATACACCCGGGAGGCGGAGGTTTCGGGGAGTCAAGATCACGCCATTGCACTCCAGCCTGGGCAACAAGAGCGAAACGCTGTCTCAAAAAAATGCAAATACAAGCTGGGCGAGGTGGCTCACGCCTGTAATCCTAGCACTTTGGGAGGCTGAGGTGGGTGGATCACCTGAGGTCAGGAGTTCAAGACCAGCTTGGCCATCATGGTGAAACCCCATCTTCTTAAAAAAAAAAAAAAAAAAAGCAAATGCAACTACCAAAAATTAGCCAGGTGTGGTGGCGCATGCCTGTAATCCCAGTTACTCAGGAGGCTGAGGCAGGAGGATCACTTGAACCAGGGCAGCAGAAGTTGCAGTGAGCCAAGATGGAACCATTGCATTCCAGCACATTGTACTTTGCCTTGTGCGGTAGCTCACTCCTGTAATCCCAGCACTTTGGGAGGCCGAGGCGGGTGGATCACGGGTCAAGAGATCAAGACCATCCTGGTCAACATGGTGAAACTCCGTCTCTACTAAAAATACAAAAATTAGCTGGGCATGGTGGCGCAGCCTGTAGTCCCAGCTACTCGGGAGGGTGAGGCAGGAGAATTGCTTGAACCCAGGAGGCGGAGGTTGCGGTGAGCCGAGATCATGACATTGTAGTCCAGCCTGGGTAACAAGAGCGAGAAACTCCGTCTCAAAAAAAATAAAATAAAATAAAAAAGAAAGAAAGAAATACAAGGTTACCTTTAAGAAGTAACTCTGGATGATCCAGCAAGGGTCGGCAAAAAGTCTTTTTTCCTTTATGCTTTTTGATACTAAGTTTTTACTGTGGTTTTCTCTGATTTAAATTTTTAATTAATTGTTAAATAAGTCCTGTAAGACCTGGAAAGAGAAAGAAAAAGGAATTGCCTTTCATTTACTTCTGCCTTTGCCCAATCTGTAGAAATATTATTTCCAAAGGCATAAGCAGGATTCTGAAATGTCTTCAACATCAGCAACTTTCTAATTCAGTTGAAGACTGTGACAGTTCTGCCACCGTACCACAGTGTTTACCTAATGTCTTATTTTCTCTACTAAAATACTACCAATATTTACTGAACATTTATTAAGGTAAAAATGAGAAAGATGAGTAAGAATAATTTTATTAGAGAAGAGCCGGGTGCGGTGGCTCACGCCTGCAATCTCAGCACTTTGGGAGGCTGAGGTGGGTAGATCAGGAGGTCAGGAGTTTGAGACCAGCCTGGCCAACATGACGAAACCCTATCTCTACTAAAGATTAAAAAAATCAGCTGGGCATGGTGGCACATGCCTGTAATCCCAGCTACTCAGGAGGCTGAGGCAGGAGAATTGCTTGAACCTGGGAGGCGGAGGTTGCAATGAGCAGAGATCACTTCCTTGCACTCCAGCCCTGCAGCAGAGCAGACTCCGTCTCAAAAAAAAGAGGTCTTTCTTACTAGCAATCACTCACCCAACTTCATTTTAAATCTATTTTTCCTAAAAGATAGGGAAGGGCAAAATGGGAAGAATGTACAAAGGTGGGGGGAAATGGAAAAGTGAGAAAGAAGAAAGAATATAATTTAGGGGATTACTGGGAAGGGTTTAGTGTTTCCGGCATAGAGGGTCTCAGATAAAGTGGAAGGAGAGACACAGGGAGGAAGGTTGGGACTGGAGGCTGAGTGAATACAGAAGAGCACTTGGAATACGGTGAAATTCAGTAAAGGGAGTAGAATATTTTTTTTTTTTTTTGAGACAGAGTTTCACTCTTGTTGCCCAGGCTGGAGTGCAGTGGTATGATCTTGGCTCACCGCACCTCTGCGTGCCAGGTTCAAGTGATTTTCCTGCCTCAGTTTCCTGAGTAGCTGGGATTACAGGCATGCACCACCAAGCCCAACTAATTTTGTATTTTTGGTAGAGATGGGGTTTCTCCATGTTGGTCAGGCTGGTTTTGAACTTCCGAACTCAGGTGATCTGTCCGCCTTGGCCTCCCAAAGTGCTGGGATTATAGGCATGAGCCACCACACCAGGCCTGAATCATATGACGTGTTGAAGGTTTATTTACTTGTTTGTTTGACACAAGGGATCTTACTGTGCTGCGCAGGTTTTTCTTTAACTCTGGACCTCAAGTGATTCTCCTGCCTCAGCCTCCCAAAGTGCTGGGATTATACACGTGAGTCACTCCGCCTGGCCATGTTGAAGATTTAAATCACCCCAGTTAATTGTCTTCCTAGCGATACTGTGAGCCCTGTGAGGGGTTGTTTTCATCAAGTGCATCTTTATATCCCTAGGGGGCCAGCAAAATGCCTGGCTTGCGGTAATGCTAAATAAATCTCTGCTGAGTAAATGAATTAATTCATAAGCATTCTCTCTGGAGGTAGCATTGACAAAACAGACAAACAAATGAAAAACAAAAAAGAATCGGATTTTAGAATCAAAGGACCTTGTTTCAAAACTTTTCTCTCCAGCTTACACATGCGTGATGAACAAGTTACATAACCTCTTTGAATACTCACCTGATACTAATACTCACCTTAAAGTGTCATTTTGAGAACTAAATGAGATCATACTTCCGAATTGCTTAGCACATTACCTGACAAATTATAGACATTCAACAAATGTCAGTTTCTTATTGCCTCCTTCCCACTATCCAGTATTAAAATATGCACTAGTAGACTTTATGTCCAGATTGTAAGACAGAGCCTTCCTTCCTTCCTTCTTTCCTCCCTCCCTCCCTCTTCCTTCCTTCCTTCCCTCCCTCCCTCCCTCTTTCCTTCTCTTTTCCTCCCTCCCTCCCTTCCTTCCCTCCCTTCTTCCCTTTTCATCTTTCCCTTCCTCCCTCCCTCCCTCCCTCCTTCTTTCTCTTTCCCTCCCTCCCTTCCCTCCTTCCCTCCTTCCCTCCCTCCTTCCTTCTTTCATCTTTCCCTCCCTTCCTCCCTCCCTCTTTCCCTCCCTCTCTCTCTCTCTTTCTTTCTTTCTTTTCTTTCTTCTCTTGTCCTGTCACCCAGGCTGAAGTGCAATAGCACAATCTTGGCTCACTGCAGTTTCAGGCCAGGTGCGGTGGCTCAAATCTGTAATCCCAGCACTTTGGGAGGCCAAGGCGGGCAGATCACTTGAGGCCAGGAGTTTGAGACCACCCTGGCCAACATGGTGAAACCCTCATCTCTACTAAAAATACAAAAATTGGCTTGTGTGGTGACGCATGTCTATAGTCCCAGCTACTCAGGAGTCTGAGGCAGGAAAATGACTTGAACCCAGGAGGCAGAGGTTGCAGTGAGCTGAAATCGTGCCACTGCACTCCAACCTGGGCGACAGGGTGAGACCCTGTCTGGAAAAAAAAAAAAAACGTTCAAATCTGAATGTCTTTACTCAGTGTTATATAGTCATTATAAACAAAGGCTCTGCCAGGCGCGGTTGCTCGCCCCTGTAATTCTAGCACTTTGTGAGGCTGAGGTGGGTGGATCACCTGAGGTCAGGAGTTCAAGACCAGCCTGGCCATCATGGTGAAACCCAATCTTAAAAAACAACAACAACAACAACAACAACAGCAACAAAACACAAGCGGCGGGGTGCAGTGGCTCACGCCTATAATCTCAGCACTTTGGGAGGCTGAGGCGGGTGGATCATGAGGTCAAGAGATCGAGACCATCCTGGTCAACATGGTGAAAAACCCGTCTCTACTAAAAATACAAAAATTAGCTGGGCATGATGGAGCGTGCCTGTAATCCCAGCTACTCAGGAGGCTGAGGCAGGAGAATCGCCTGAACCCAGGAGGTGGAGGTTGCGGTGAGCCGAGATCGCGCCATTGCACTCCAGCCTGGGTAACAAGAGTGAAATTCCGTCTCAAAAAAAAAAAAAAAAAAAAAACCACAAGCTCTATAAGCAGACTATTTAAAGTCCCAGGTTTGTACTCAATTTTGAAATCTACGAAATGGGAGTAATTGTAGTTTATACAAAAGTTAAATGTGTTGTAACCTTTGTAGAAACTATTAACTTTTCACTCTCTTGATAGTGTTATTTAATGCACAAAGATGTCTTATTTTTTATTTTTTTAATGTCTTTGGGTTTTGTGCCAGCCCACTTTTCCACAAGCCCTATGGTTTTTACTGCATGATTTTCCATAGCATGGTGGCTTTTAGCAGTACTTACAGCTCAGGATCAGTAGAACTGGGAAGAGACCCAGTGGAAGGAAATCTTGGCTTCTTTGGATAATTGAAAGTCATTCAGCACTGCTGGGGCACCCACTCCTTGCGGAAGCTTGGATTCTAGCTAATGCTCCCCGACCTCTTACTGTGTGTCAGCAGTATGGGAAGCCCTTGTCATACAAATTAACTCAACAGCCCTCATGATAATGCTTGAAGGTGTGCCCTATTTTAAAATATTTTCTAGACCGGAATCTGAGGGAGAAGGCTTTGAGGGAACCTATGCAGGGTCATACAACGGTAAGTGGTAGAGACATACTGAACCCAACCCACCGCAGAGCTGCGTGCTCTTAACTAGACCCAGGACAGAGGTTATTTTGTTTCATTTTTATTTCTTTTGTTTACGATTGTGCTGGTGTGGCGGTGGCCAGGGGGGGGGACCCCAAAACAAATTTTATTATTTGTAAAAAAATTTGTATTACTATTATTTTTTGAGTCACACTCTGTTGCCCAGGCTGGAGTGCAGTTGTGAGATCTCACTGCACTCTGCCTCCCGGGTTCAAGCGATTCTCTCGCCTCAGCCTCCCAAGTAGCTGGGACTACAGGTGTGTGCCATCATGTCCAGCTAATTTTTGTATTTTTAGTAAAGACAGCCTTTCACCATATTGGCCAGGCTGGTCTCAAACTCCTGACGTCATGATCCATCTGCCTCGGCCTCCCAAAGTGCTGGGATTACAGGCGTGAGCTACCATGCCCAGCCAAAAAATTGTTATAATTATTATTTTTTACCACGTATTTTACCTTTCTATTCCCAAATGTTTTGTACTTATTTTCTAGTTGTACCTGAAAGAAAATAATGGCAATTTGCATATACTTAGCTTAGTGTTTATGAGTCGGACAGACGTGGGTGGCCCTGACACTTGGTACCTGTATAGCTGTATGACTCTTTTCAGCCTCACTTTCTTTCTCTACCGCTAATTCTTGACAGCTTCTCCTGGATGTCTAACACAGATCTCCAACCAAAACAGAGCTTGTTCGTTTGCTGGTTTGTTTTTCGAGATGGAGCCTCGCTCTGTCATCCAGGCTGGAGTGCAGTGATATGATCTCGGCTCACTGCAACCTCTGCCTCCCCGGTTCAAGTGATTCTCCTGCCTCAACCTCTTGAGTAGCTGGGATTACAGGCACCTGTTACCACATCTGGCTGATTTTTGTATTTTTAATAGAGACGGGGTTTTACCATGTTTGCCAGGCTGGTCTTGAACACCTGACCTCAGGTGATCCCACCTGCATTGGCCTCCCAATGTGCTGGGATTACAGGGGTGAGCCACCACACCTGGCCCAGAGCTTTTAATTCTAGTCACTACCTCTCCTCCAGCCCACTACACAAAATCTAGTCCCAAAAGCTCCCTCACTAATTTAATTAATACCACCAATGTGTACCCTTAAGCAACCCAAAACATCGGGGGTCATTCTTCCTTTTTCTGAGACAGGTTCCTGCTCTGTCACCCAGGCTGGAGTACAGTAGCACAATCACAGCTCACTGCAGTCTCAAACTCTTGGGCTCAAGCAAACCTCCCACCTCAGCCTCCTAAGTAGCCAGGACCACAGATGCATGGGTTTTTACTTTTGTAGAGACGAGCTTTTGCCATGTTGCTCAGGCTGGTCTCAAACTCCCGGGCTCAAGTGATCCTCCTGCCTTGGCCTCCGAAAGTGCTGGGATTACAGGAGTGAGCCTGACTCAGGGTAGTTCTTTCTACTTCATTGACCTTATCTCCCCCTAGCTCCACGCACATTAAAATAAGCACCCAGGCCTTCTAATTTGACCTCCAGATGACATCTCCGCTTTATCTACTTCTCTCTATCCCCACCTTTGCCCTCCTTCCCGCAAGCAATCATCACCTCTGGCTGAGAATTCTGGAGTAATCCCGTCATCGGCTCCCCGATCTTCCCTCTTGTTCTTTTTTAATCCACTCTCTACAAGGACAAATGTGCATTTCTTAAAATTGTAATCAGATCCAAGCCACTCCCTCATTTAAAACCCTCGAAGGACTTCTGCTGTTCAGAGTAAGAGCTGAACTCCCTACTGTATCCTAGCGAGGTCCTGTGTCCTGGGGCCCATTTTCCCACGTTGCCTGATACTGCTCAGCCCTGCTCACCCTGCACCAGCCGTATTGGTCTTTTTTTCTGTTCCTTGAACGAGTCAGTCCCGTTCCCACTTCTGCACTTTCAAACCTTTCAAATCTCAGCTCAAGTGTCAGCTTCTCAGGGTCTCTTCCTGAACCCCCGTCTCGGCTGGCCTCCACAGGCTTTCCCATTCGTCTGTTTAGATTCTTTCCCATTCGTCTGTTTAGATGACTTTTTCCCCAGCAATAATCTCAACGTGTAATTCTCTTGCTTGTTTATTTGCTTGCTTTTGTTTATTACTGGGTTTCTGTCTCCTACACTGTAATGTAAGTTCTATGATGGCTGTGACCTTTATCTTAGTCACTATTAACTAGATCCCGAGAGCTTGGAACATGTGGTCCCCGAGAAATGAATGAATAAATAAATGAATAAATGAAAGCATGTCTTAACTCCTAATACTGACATAAACAGTTGTCTCCTCCACCTGGGGCACTATGCTGGTTGCTGGAATAATTAACAAAACATCTTGATTTTGAAATAAAAAGCAGAGACAAAACAGGTAAACTAATAACTATATGAAATCTATATATAATGGCCGGGCACAGTGGCTCATGTCCGTAATCCCAGCACTTTGGGAGTCCGAGGCAGGTGGATCACGACGTCAGGAGTATGAGATCAGCCTGGCCAAGAAGCAGAAACGCTGTCTCTACTAAAAATACAAAAATTAGCCAGGCACATTGGCGGGTGCCTGTAATCCCAGCTACTCAGGAGGCTGAGGCAGGAGAATCACTTGAACATGGGCAGTGGAGGTTGTAGTAAGCCAGGATCACACCGCTGCACTCCAGCCTGGATGACAGAGTGTGACTCCATCTTAAAAAAAAAAAAGAACGATATATATAAACATAGATATAAAATAAGAGGGAAACATTGATAAGAGCAGATCCTCAGGAGGCTGGGGCAGGAGAATCACTTGAACCTGGGAGGAAGAGGCTGCAGTGATCCGAGATGGCACCACTGCACTCCAGCCTGGGTGACAGAGAAAGACTCTGTCTCAAAACAAAGAAAAAGAAATCTTCATAAAGAAATCATTTCCAATAAGCTCCACAGTTAGTGGTCATTCTGAATTTGAATCCCCGGGTTATTGAATACATTTCATACAGAGATTGGCAGTTTGGCAAGCTTCTCAGTTCAATATTTCTGCTTGCCAAGAGAGAAAGTTGTGACTCCTTGCTTTCCCATTCTATCCTTCTGAAGGAAATAAAAAAAGATCTCAAATACAGCTTGCTGTATTAGCATTGAAGGGAAAGAGCTAATATGCACTTACACAATCCAATTTATACTCACATAATTACTGAAGGAAACAGCAGAGTGACATTTGCACCTAATCCTTCCATGGGGTTGTGACTAAGACTGCAAATAGCAGAAGGAGAGCTCACAGTTGCCTGTACATGGAGGCAAATGAAAACTTCTTGATCAGCAAAGGGGTACCTGTAATAGGAGAACACTTTTTTTTTTAGACGGAGTTTCACTCTGTTGCCTAGGCTGGAGTTCAGTGGCGTCATCTCAGCTCACTGAAACCTCTGCCTCCCAGGTTCAAGCGAGTCTCCTGCCTCAGCCTCCTGAGTAGCTAGGATTACAGGCATGCACCGTCTCTGCCCGGCTAATTTTTGTATTTTTAGTAGAGACAGGGTTTCATCCTGTTGGTCAGGCTGGTCTTGAACTCCCGACCTCAGGTGATCCACCTGCCTTGGCCTCCCAAAGTGTTTGGATTACAGGCTTGAGCCACCGCACCTGGCTTTTTGTTGTTGTTGTTTTTTTAAGGACCTTTTAACTCTGTTATCCTCAAATGGAAACACTGTAAACCACCCAATTAATGAAAAAGCTGGGACGTGAGGGCTAGAGCCACATGCTCTAGGTAGATGCAGAATGATGAGAGGTAAAAGAGAAGTGAGTTCAGGGGCAGAATATCACACGGGCTAAGACCATGCGGAGCTGACAAGAGGCTTGTGCATATTTTACAGTGATTGAGGCCTCTCTGCTGGCATCCTGTCACGTCAAATACGTGGTATTTCCTTGTTCCTCGTTCAGATGCAAAAGGGGGAGGACAGCGGCTGTTTGAAAAGCAGATGTGAGCACAGCAACTCACCACAGTGCCGTCCTTACTCTGCCTTTGGCCACCTCAAGTCTCAACTGCCACTGTCTTCTCTTAGCTGATTTCTCGAAAACAAGTTTTTTAGGGTGTGCGTGTGTGTTTTGAGATGGAGTCTCTCTCTGTGGCCCAGGCTGGAGTGCAGTGGCGCGATCCCTGCTCACTGCAACCTCTACCTCCTGGGTTCAAGCAATTTTCCTGCCTCAGTCTCCTGAGTATCTGGGATTATAGGCGTCTGGCACCAAATTCGGTTAATTTTTGTGTTTTTTTTTTTTTTGAGACGAAGTTTCGCTGTTGTTACCCAGACTGGAGTGCAATGGCACGATCTTGGCTCACAGCAACCTCCGCCTCCTGGGTTCAAGCAATTCTCCAGCCTCAGCCTCCTGAGTAGCTGGGACTACAGGCGTGCACCACCATGCCCAGCTAATTTTTGTATTTTTAGTAGAGACAAGGTTTCACCAGGATGGTCTTGACCTTGTGATCCACCCATCTTGGCCTCCCAAAGTGCTGGGATTTTAGGCATGAGCCACCGCGCCAATTTTTGTGTCTTTAGTGGAGACGGGTTTCACAACTCCTGACACGGCTAGGAGTTGGCCAGGCTAGTCTCGAACTCCAGACCTCAAGTGATCCGTTTACCTCGGCCTCCCAAAGTGCTGGGATTACAGGTGTGATTTCACCATGCTGGTCAGGCTGCTCTCGAACTCCTAACCTACTGCGGCTGGCCGAAAACCAGTATGTTTTAATGACAG